ACTTGGAAAATCTACATCCTGTATCAAGTTAGGTTTGAGTCCCAGCTCCTCTCCTGTTTCCAGCTCCCTGCTAATGTATACTCTGGGAGGCATCAGGCGATGGCTCAAGTGGATCCCTGATACCCATGTGAGAGAGCTGGACTGAGTTCTTTGCCTGGCCCACCCTTAGCTGTTCTAGGAATTTGGTAAATGAACCAGTTAACGGAAACTCACTGTCTATTTGTCTTTGTCTTTGTCTCTCTGATTTTCAAATAAATAAAACAGATGAATAAATTTCAATGCTTAATAATAAAAAATAGCCATATACAGGAAATAATAGAAATATGGAGGCAGCTACCAACACAAACACCTGACTACATGGTCGTGATGCCTTGGCACCATGATCTAGAGAGAGAGGTAGAATGGGAAAGGGGAGTAGAGAATTATCTTAACTGTGTGTGTGTACAGTTAATCAATGTGCAAGACATGTTTGGAATCCACCGGCAAAGTTGTTCACAGTCTGATCAGGGTCACCTTACTACCCAGCTTCGCTGCAGCTCCCAAGCACATGCCAGATAACAGCACAGCTTGTCCAGCCTTGGAGCCCCCAGCTCAGCACCTCAGACATGGCAGGGGCCCAGTGCATCTTCCTTAGCTAGTGGAGACAAACTTTGCTGTTAGTTGATAGTCGCGGGCCAGAGGACAACAGCGATGCAGCTGAAGGGCTGAGTAACAGGTGCTGAAAGGATTACAAGAAACACAAATTAGAGAGAAGAAAAGCAGGGATCAGGGGACTCTGCATGACAGCAGAAGAGCCTCGAATGTCTCTTGCTCTTCGTTTTTACTGAGCTCCAATGGTTTAATTATTAATGTCATACAGATACAGTAGCACTGAAACTTAGCAAATAGTTTGAAACTTATTAAACCTACTGGAAAGAAGCAAAGTATAAGCAAAACTATTAAACTTCTCTAACCAAGCATCTGGGGTGGAGGGCATCGAATTGTCTGGTGAATAATGGATGACCCATTCCATGTACATTATGTACAGGGAACAAAGAATCCAGGTGCCACTGCACCAGGTTACCTATGGTGGCTGTGTTCAGGCCTTCCACATCCATCATTCCATGTCTGACTTGGAGAGGTCAAGCCCAGGGCAGTCCAACACCATCAAGACGCTTGGAATTTATTCCTGATTTACAATCTATAAGTAAACACAATTCTAAACTATGCTACACAGCAGTAAAAACCCCAACAGGTGATAACATACTTTGGAAAGATAAAATCTTGCAGTAAACTTTCTCAAATTTAGCACTATGGACATTTTTAATCAGACAGTTCTTGGGGGGGGGTGTGGAAGCAGCTATCCTATGCACCTCTGACCTCAGTCCACTAGCTTTGACAGCATCTCTCCCAGTTACATCAAAAATGTCTTCAGACATTACCAAATGTTCCCTGGGAACAAAATCACACCCCTCACTCTGAGATCCACTGCTCTACAGAAATGTAAGCAGAGATGCCCTGCATCTTAGCATGCTGGAAAAGATTTCAAGGGTAGGAGCAGAACTCTAAAGCCTGCAAAAGCATTTCACCTGAAATTCTCCTCTCCTTCAGATTTTTTAAGTGAATCTCTAGTCCATATGACTCTGAAGGGCTAAGTACGAGGGTGGGGGTGGCTCGTCCTCTCTTACTGACCCTAGGCAAGATTCCAAGTGGTAAATGCCCCCTAATGTTTGTTGGAGCAAATTGATTTGTGCTGTCATCTGATTTCTTTTGTGTCGCACTCCAAGGGAAGTCAGGCCATCATCATAAGATCATTTTAGGAAATATTGCTGATGTCCACAGAACAGAATGCTGTTGTCTTTTCAAAAGTGGAGAAGAAACCGCAAACACACACACACATGGGATGTCTGTGCTATTTTGCTAGTCAACACTCTACTCTTCCACCTCACAGGAAGGGATGAAGGAATACGAAGCATTATGGGCTATGCTTGGTGAGAAAGGCAGGTGTAATGGCAGGACTAGAGGGCTTCTCCTCTGACCTCCGGTTGCCATGAGCCACTGCAGAAGACTGGAGACCTGGGGAAGGGTCCCAGGAAGAAGGGGCCGTTGTCAATACCAGATACCCCAGGACGTTCAGAGGGCTTCAGACAGGGAATGCTCCAAGAAGTAGAAAAGGGACAGGAAAACTGAGCTAGGGAATGCCACAGAAAAACTTTAACTTTTTCCAAAAGCTTGTCCAAAAGCCTCCTTCAATTCTTGTCTCCTCCAGGCTGGGATAGAAAGCTTCTGTCTTTTCCAAGATCTGGGGCAGACTTGCCCTCTTAGACATCCTACACTGTGATTCCTGTTTTTTTACCTGATCATACCCTTGACCCTGGCCACCCGCCAACTTATGGATTCACTTCATTTGTTGCTGATGTAGGAAAAATGTAAATAAAGTATGGTCCCATACATCAAGGAATTTGCAGTCTGTATGCAAACACAGACAAAATGTAATGACTTGGTCACATGAAAAGAATGGAGAAAATGTGAAAGACAGCACGAGCAATATTGTGTGGGTGTTGGTGGTGGAGAGACGATGTCTCAGCTGGTGTCTGAAAGAGACTAGAAATTTTCCAAGAGGCCCCAGGTGGGGAAAAGAGTGGTGATGAGGTGCCTTGTTCTAAATACAATTTCGGGGGGCCAGCATTGTGCCGCAGTAGGTTAACCTACCATGTGCAACACAGAGTGCCAATTTGAGTCCTGGCTGCTCCACTTCTGATCCAGCTCCCTACTAATTTGCCTGGGAAAGCAGCAGATGATGGCCCAAGTGTTTGGACCACTGCCACCCATGAAGAAGACCCATAAGGAGTCCTGGGCTCCTATCTTTAGTCTGGAGAATCCAGACTGGGAATCCATGATGCGCTGTAGGCATTTCCCCAAAGGAAAACAGCCCCAGCCAACCCTTGTTCTGTGTAAAATGCATTCAGTACAATAGGAAAAAATGTCATCATTGCTACTGATTTTGACTTTCAAAGTCAAATTGAAAGAAACATATCTGGCCTGGAAGCAGAACAGTAAAGTTCTATGGAAACAGAGCAGACCCTAGGATGCAGGGGACATGGTGGTGCCTCCATGTTGCTTAGCCAGAGGGAGGCAGTGCTGAGAGGTGGATGCCTGGCTCAGACCCCAGCAGATGTGTGAGCCTCTTTCTCCCTTGTCTCTGGGAAGCACAGCTTCTAATGGTATCTAACTGGTGGTAAAACAAACACAAGAAGAGACCTGGAGTGAAGCTGCTTGTATGAAGCAGGTCCTTTCCTGCTTCAACAGCTAGGAACAGAAGCAGCACGGGAGGTGTGAAGTTAGTTCCCTGTGTTTCTTGTGCACCCTGTGTTTGAGTAGTTGTCAAGCCAAATCTGTGCTTTTCTGAGGCTTGACAGCAAAAATCTTGGCAGGACATAAATTATATCTTTTTTTAAAAAATTGACATGAATTATAATTTCAACCGTATGATGTTCTAAGAAAGACAGAACTATGGAGAGAGTAAAAAGATCAGTGGTTCCATGTTTTGGTGAAAGAGGGAGTGAATAGGTGAAGCCCAAAGGATTTTAAGGAAGCAAAACTATCCTGTGTGATGCCTTAATACATCTCATCCTGCACCCTTCAAGCCCATAGATTGTTTTTTTATTATTATTATTTTTTATTTATTTATTTTTTGACAGGCAGAGTGGACAGTGAGAGAGAGAGAGAGACAGAGAGAAAGGTCTTCCTTTGCTGTTGGTTCACCCTACAATGGCCACCGCGGCCGGCACACCGCGCTGATCTGATGGCAGGAGCCAGGTACTTCTGGTCTCCCATGGGGTGCAGGGCCCAAGCACTTGGGCCATCCTCCACTGCACTCCCGGGCCACAGCAGAGAGCTGGCCTGGAAGAGGGGCAACCAGGACAGAATCCGGCACCCCGACCGAGACTAGAACCTGGTGTGCCGGCGCCGCAAGGTGGAGGATTAGCCTATTGAGCCGCAGCGCCGGCCTTCAAGCCCATAGATTGTACAAGACCAAGAGTGAACCCTAATATACAGTGTGGACAGGGGGTCATGATGCGTCAGGGCAGGTTCCATTATAGCAAATGCACCACTCTGGCACATGATGTTGACTGGGAGACGCTGTGTGCTGGGTATACAGAAACCCTCTATACTTCCAGTTCAATTTTGCTGGGAACAGGCGTGCTTATTTTACTTATTTCAAGGGAGGGAGACAGAGACAGACAAGCAGGTAGACAGAGATTTTCTATCCACGCTCCAAATGCCCACAACAGCCACAACTCAGACAAACCAAAGAGCCACAAATTCAATCCTGGTTTCCCACTGGGGTAGCAGGGTCCCAACTGCTTGAGCCACCACCTGCAGCCTCCCAGACTATGCATTTACAAGAAGCTAGCATCACAAGTGGAGCCAAAACTCAAACCCATGTGGGCATCCCAAGCAGACTCTTAATAACTAGGTATAATGCCTAGCTCTCTGTGAATTTAAGACTCTCTAAAAAATAAGGTCATTTTTAAAAAGTGGACCTGATTTAACATAAACTAAAGAAACTAAACAACAGAGGGACTGAAGCTTTCTTGGGGACACGAAGCCAGCTGCTGGCAGGAGCTTTGGCTCCCTCCCCTGCCACCCCATGACTGCATGAGAAGGCAGGCAGGTGTGAGTGCTCTGGGAAGCTCGGAGTTTGAAATATGTAGTGACTGCATCCCGACTGCAGAGAGACTGCTCCAGGTGGCTTTTCCATAATTTGACTTGCAAATCAAGGACAAAGGTGTATCAGTATGTAGATGAGAAACTACTGACATTCAATCTCTCAGTTTTACCCGCTTAAGAAGCGGTGCTTTGCCCTCTGTGGAGGTTCCCACCGTCTCCTACACTCAGCAGAGAAAATCTGCCAACAGAGAAGGCTGCTCAGAGGCCAAGGGGAAGCTCTTAACTCAGGGCCCAGGGATCCCGATGCTCAGGAACCAGGAGATGAGCGTCATCAGGTGAGACTCATGGACAGGTCATGCTCACCCTGCAAAGCTGCTAGATTAAAAGCACAGTGACCATTTCAGTTACAAGCTGTTTTTATTAGAAGCATGACTTGAGGAAGAAGTGAATACCAAAATAAGCAATTCTGCGGGGTCAGAGGTGTTCTCTGAGGAAGCACACTCAATGTCTCGTGAAATTCTCGAGGCAGGGGCAGGGCTGCTGGAAACAGGAAGTGGCTCCCAACAGGTGTTGGGCCCAAGGAGGGTATTTAGGGGCTCCAGAAGCAAAGAGCAGCAAACCTCCCTCACCTCTCTGAGTCCTGTCTCCTCTCTGCACCTGAGTCCTCTCTTCTCACCATGGGTTGCTGTGGCTGTAGAGGTGGCGGTGGCTGCCACAGTGGCTGTGGTGGCTGTGGTGGCTGTGGCAGCTGCACCACCTGCAGGTGCTACCGGGTGGGCCGCTGCTCTGACTGCTGCTCCTGCTGCCACGGCTGCTGTGGGGGCTGCTGCAGCACCCCCGTGGTCTGCTGCTGCCGCCACTCCTGTGGGTCCTGTGGCTGTGGCTCCAGTGGCCATGGCTGTGGAAGGGGCTGTTGCCAGCAAAAGTACTGCTGCCACTAGGTGGGCTGGCTGGCTCTGCCTCTGAGCTGAGAAATGTGGAAGACTTTGCTCCCGGCATTTGCTAAGACTTTGCTCCCCGCCTCAGTCTGCTTCCTCCCCACCCCCTCCAGCTGGATGGACTGGAACTGCTTTTCCTGACACTGCACTGTTGTTTCTTTCCCTTCACAATGGTACTACGAGTACTCCAATTCCTTTTCCCTGTATCTTCCAAGACTTAGTACCTAGAAAGCACCTATCCTCTATTCTTTGTAATCTTCATCTCAGGAAAATAAAAAATAAAAGACTAAAACGTGTTTTCAACATCAGCAATGGCAGCACAGCCAAGCATGGGAAAGTTCTATAATATTACAGCTAATATTTCATTTTCTTAAAAAAAAATCACTTATGATCTTTGTTTCTTTCACATAGTACTTCTTTCCTGTTTCCATATCTGTGGGGTTTTTTGTGTGTTTGTTTTTTATGGAAAAAAGAAAACAAACTCTTTCCTAATAAAAGAAAAAATATCTCCTTATTCTAATTTGTCTCTTTCCTGTAAGACGTGTACCCTCTCATGGGTGAGGGCACAGTACCAAAAGACAATGAGTAATATTTAAATCTCAGAACAGATTCACTAAGTGGATGAACAGTCCTACAATGGATTTTACAGTTGAAGTAGAAATCTGGAGACCAATCTCCAACCTTTGGTCACCAGGGTCAAAGAGGGGCACTGCTGCGTTCTCACAATGTCTGTGACTGCAGCTGAAACACGTTTGGAAAGGGTGGGCCCCTGCCGCAGCACAGCAGTCACTGCTTCTCTCCATCTACTCCTCATTCACACACTGAACAAATACATGGGAGGTATTGTAGTCCAGGTGTTCAGCTGCACACTAGAGGCGTACAAATAAATAACCCTTGAGGAGTTAGCATCTAAGAGGGAAAGGGACGAATCAGAGTCCATTACAATAACAGCCTCCTAATGTCATACTTCCTTTGCCTGGTTACCCTCTCTCCACGCCTATGCTTACTCTATCAAATAGATTTGTGCATATATTGTTGAGTACAAACACAAGAGAGTCTTCCATGGGGTCTTTTGTTTGGGCTCCCAGTGACATTCGACACAAGCGACCTCTCCCACCTCCTTAGTCTCCCCCAAAACTAAAATTCCCTCTTCCTCACTGATCCTTCTCTTTCGCCTCCTACTGCTCCTACTCAGCCTCTCTTGGAGGTCCTTTCACAATGCTGGCACCCAAGTCCTAGGCTTGGGGACCTCTTTCTGTCTTCTTATTCATCAGATCTACATTCTTTAGGAATCTCCACCCTCTTCTGTCACTCTTCCTTCTCAGCATCACTTTATTTATTTATTTATTTATTTTGACAGGCAGAGTGGACAGTGAGAGAGAGAGACAGAGAGAAGAGAGAAAGATCTTCCTTTCGCTGTTGGTTCACCCTCCAATGGCCGCAGCGGCTGGCACGTTGCAGCCAGCACATCACGCTGATCCGAAGCCAGGAGCCAGGTGCTTCTCCTGGTCTCCCATGCGGGTGCAGGGCCCAAGGACTTGGGCCATCCTCCACTGCACTCCTGGGCCATAACAGAGAGCTGGCCTGGAAGAGAGGCAACCGGGACAGAATCCGGCACCCCAACTGGGACTAGAACCCGGTGTGCCGGCACCGCAAGGCAGAGGATTAGCCTAGTGAGCCACGGCGCCGGCAGCATCACTTTCTAACATATCATAAAGTTCATGGATTTATTGTGTCTATGGTATTCCCTATCCCCCAACCAGAATGTGAGTGCTACAAGACAGATTTGCAATTTTGTTCACTGGAGCATTCCAGGCACCTAGAGTAGTGTCTACAGCATACTACAAATTCACTAAATAAATTCTTAATGAATCATCAATGATTTTTGTTTGTTTCTATGTATATGTGGTTTTCTAAAGATTTATTGTTGGTTTATTTGAAAGGCAGAGTTATAAAGGGAAGAGGAGGAAGAAGAGAGAGAGAGAAAGAATCTGCCTTCTGCTGGTTCACTCCTCAATTGACTGCAATAACTGGGGTTGGTCCAGGCTAAAGCCAAGATCCAGGAGCTCCATCTGGATCTCCCATAAGGGTGAAGGGCCCAAGAATTTGGGTTATCTTCCTCTGCTTTCCCAGGTGCATTAGCAGGGAGCTGGGTCCGCAGTGGAACAGCCAGATCTCCAACAGGGGCCCATGTGGGATGCTTGCATCACAGGTGGAGGCTTAATCTGCTATGCTGCAACACCAGCCCCATCAGTGATTTTTTTAAAAGATTTATTTATTTATTTGAAAGTCAGAGTAATACAAGAAGAGAAGGAGCGGCAGAGAGAGAGAGAAAGGTCTTCCATCCACTGGTTCGCTCCCCAGTTGGCCACAATGGCTAGAGCTGGGCTGATCTGCAACCAGGAGCCAGGAACTTCCTCCAGGTCTCCTATGAGGGTGCAGGGACCCCAGGAGTTAGGCCATCTTCTACTGCTTTCCCAGGCCATAGCAGAGAGCTGGATTGGAAATGGGACTTGAACCAGCACCCATACGGGATGCCAGCACTGCAGGTGATGGCTTTACCCACTATGCCACAGTGCCAGTCTTGCATCAGTGATTTTTTTAAAAGTTTCTATTATGTCGGCTGGCGCCGCGGCTCACTAGGCTAATCCTCCGCCTAGCGGCGCCGGCACACCGGGTTCTAGTCCCGGTAGGGGCGCCGGATTCTGTCCCGGTTGCCCCTCTTCCAGGCCAGCCCTCTGCTGTGGCCAGGGAGTGCAGTGGAGGATGGCCCAGGTGCTTGGGCCCTGCACCCCATGGGAGACCAGGAAAAGCACCTGGCTCCTGGCTCCTGCCATCGGATCAGCGCGGGGCGCCGGCCGCAGCGCGCCGGCCGCGCCGGCCATTGGAGGGTGAACCAACGGCAAAAGGAAGACCTTTCTCTCTGTCTCTCTCTCTCTCACTGTCCACTCTGCCTGTCAAAAAAAAAAAAAAAAGTTTCTATTATGGAAGATGGCTACCCATATACAACCGTGAAGAGGAACACAAAAATTTTCTAAAGCCATTATCCAAATCAACAATTATCAATAAACAGCCTCTCTCTCTCCTTATCTGTGGCCCTGCCCACACCCTTTCCACCAGTGGTTCTCATGGTATCAAATCCAGATTTTTTTTAAAGATTTATTTATCTATTTGAAAGACAGAGTTACAGAGAGGCAGAATCAGAGAGAGAAAGAGAGAGAGCTTCCATCCATTAGCTCACTCCCCAAATGGCCACAACAGCTGGGGTAGAGCTGATCTGAACTCAGGAGCCAGGAGCTTCTTCCAGGTCTCCCACACGGGTGCAGAAGCCCAAGGACTTCGACCATCTTCTACTGCTTTCCCAGCCATAGCAGAGAGCTGGATTGGAAGAGAAGTAGCTGGAACTTAAACCAGTGCCCATATGGGATCCCAGTACTGCAGGCAGCAGCTTTATCCCCTACGCCACAGCGGTGGCCCCTTAAATCCAAATTTCCTATCAGTTCATTTCCAAGTACATCAGTTTATGTGACCAAGAATGAATGGACTGCTCCTCTTATCTCTTTGACTATGAGATACTCAAGAAACAGAAGCAAATCTCTCAACAGCCTATCTGAAGTGATCTGTCAAGGAGTGTGGAGGAAATTAAGACATCTTCAATCTTCAAAGTGCAGCTCCATAATTTACAGACAGACTTTTTATAAATCTGTGTTAGAGACTCCTCAAAACCTGAGTCCAGGGACTGGCGCAGACAGTGCCAGCATCCCATATGGGTGCCAGTTGGAGTCCAGGCTGCTCCACTTCCCTTCCAGCTCTCTGCTATGGCCAGGGAAAGCAGTGGAAGATGGCCCAAGTCTTTGGGCCCCTGCACCCACATGGGAGACCCTGAAGAAGCTCCTGGCTCCTGGCTTCAGATCACCCCAGCTCCAGCCATTGCAGCCATTTGAGGAGTGAACCAGCAGATGAAAGACTTCTCTCCTTCTCTCTGCCTCTGCCTGCCTGTAACTCTGCCTTTTAAATAAATAAATAAATCTTTTTAAAAAAAAAGACCTGGGTCCATTCACCCGAAACACGGCAAACCAATCACTGACATCAGGACAGTGAAAGAAATTAGGTATCGATTGCAAAGTGCAGAGCGAGCAGCCAGGGAGCTATTGTTAATTCCCTCCTGGAGGGGTTGCGGTAAAGTTCTGATAGACTGAAGTTATGGTTGAAAGATGCCTGTTTGTCTCATGCGCAGGTCTGTGATTGGTGCACGATGCTTGTGTCCCTCCTTTAATTGGTCAATGATATCGAGTTCTTTGTAAATTTTGATGATCGAAAAGTGAGCTTCAGTCACTCAGGGCCTAATGCTCCTGGGAAACCCCTGGAGACAGAACTTCGGAGGTTATCTATAGAGGAGATACATTACTTCATGGGTCATGCGATCATGGACCCTGAGAGAGTTAATTTTAGCAAGAGACTGATTTGAAAAAAAAAAAAAAAAAACTAAGATAAGGGAAGGAGACTGAAGCCTGGGACCATCTAATACCTACCTCAAAGACCTCAAAGACAGGGGGCTCTGAGAACAGAAAATCCAGACCAAAAGGGCAGGAACCCAGGACACATCCCAGCACTTTCAGTCATTCCAATTTTAGTATATGTGCTGCCGAAGCAAGCACGGCACTTTTTTTTAAGAGATTTATTTATTTAAGAGATTTATTTATTTATTTATTTGAAAGGCAGAGTTATACAGAGAGAGGAGAAGCAGAAAGAGAGAGAGAGAGAGAGAGAGAGAGGTCTTCCATCCACTCCCCAATTGGCCCCAACAATCAGCGCTGTGCCGATCTGAAGCCAGGAGCCAGAAGTTTCTTCTGGGTCTCCCACACGGGTACAGGGGCCCAAGTCCTTGGGCCATCTTCTACTGCTTTCCCAGGCCACAGCAGAGACCTGGATGGGAAGTGGAGCAGCTGGGTCTCGAACTGGCACCCATATGGGATACCAGCGCTTCAAGCCAGGGCTTTAACCCACTGTGCCACAGCACCAACCCGGAGCAAAGCACTTTCATTCCATTACAGGTCTGCTAGTGTTCCTAAGAAATCAAGCAGGGTGTAGCTTGAAGGAATTCTTCATTTCCATCCACTGATAAGCGAAAATATTTAAGTTTCTTTTCCATTTCAAATAGTAAGAATTTTATAATGCTTACCCCAAGAAAGCCAACCTCCACATAATAGAATGTACACTTAATAAAATATATAAAGTCCCAAAACTCATCTTACCCACTTCTTTCACAAGATAAAACAAGTAAAAGAAACATATTAAAAAACAAACAAACAAACAGGGGCTGACGCCATGGCTCACTTGGTTAATCCTCTGCCTGCAGTGTCAGCATCCCATATGGACCCCGGGTTCTGGGCCCAGTTGCTCCTCTTCCAGTCCAGCTCTCTGCTGTGGCCCGGGAAGGCACGGGAAGGCAGTGGAGGATGGCCCAAGTGCTTGGGCGCCTGCACCCAAGTGGGAGACCAGGAGGAAGCACCTGGCTCCTGGCTTCTGATCGGCTCAGCTCCGGCCGTATCGGCCATTTGGAGAGTGAACCAACAGAAGGAAGACCTTTCTGTCTGTCTGTCTGTCTGTCTGTCTGTCTCTCTCTCTCTCACTGTCTAATTCTATCTGTCAAATAAATAAAAAATATATCTAAACGGTGTTATCAACACTGACGCTGAGCCCGCACACTGCAGCTAGCCGCAGCTCCTGGCCGAGCCTTGGGCCTGCTTGCTCTGCCTGTGTACACCCTGCACCTGTGCCGTGAGTTTCTGGGGAGAAATAAACGGATTCGTAGGTCCTATTTACAAATAGAGCAAAGGCGGACGCGGGATTCTGCTGAGCTGCGTTGTTACACTGACACCACGGGAGCCGGCCTTCTGAGGATGACTCTGGGACCCAGCGCGGGACGAACCAGCCCGCAGAGCCGGTTCCGCCTCTGGACTAAAGGTCTGGAGGCTTTAACTGGGGGCGTGGCCTCGGCGCTCCCGGCCGGCCGGCAGCTCCTTGCCCCTGCCTTTGGTGCCGGGATCCACCTTCGGCCGCGGGTGCGCGTGGCTCTCCGGCCAGGGAGCGATTTGGTGCAGACTGCGCCTGTTGTAGGTAAGGACATCCCCGGGGGGCGAGCTCCTTGCAGAAACACAGTCAGTCGTCCCTGGGTCGCCGCTCCGTCGCTTCTGTCTCCACAGTTGCTCCGGCCGGGGCGGTGGTACCTGGGCTGCAGCCGAGCGGCTTCTACCGGGCCTGGATCCTCCCGGAGCCTCGGCGTGAGGCCCGCGGCAGCGCGGCCGCCCTCGGCTCTCCCCAAGCCGCGGCGCTGGGGCTCGCGTGCCCAAGTAGGTTTGGCTCCAACTCTGATTTGCAGCCATCTGGAAAAGCAGATAAATTAAACCAGGACTCTGGAAAAGTGCCAGCACCGCACCGAGCCCCTCCGCGTGGCATTACCAGTGTTCACGGACTTTAAATGAAAAAATTGTTTTTGCACAGAATTCCAAATCCCAATGCAAAAGTGCCCCCAAAAATTCTTCCCTTGTGAATTTCAAATGAAGAGAGCTAGACCTCTAACTCAAGGCAAACACGTCACATCTTACAGTTATAACGCTGCAAAGGATGTTTAGTTCATCAAAGAACATGTAGGAGAGTATTTCGAAATTCCTCTGAAAATAGAATTAAAAGTAAGTTGATTCTAGAGCACAAACTTTTGAAATCTATGCATACTTGTCCAACAGATTTATCAAGTCCATGTTGCTGTCAATGCACAAAAGATTGGAAATTGTACAGAGTGCTTAAAGTTTGAAAATGTTTAGGAAATGTTTTTTTTTTTTTTTTTAAGATTTATTTATTTATTTATTTATTTGAAAGTCAGAGGTACACAGAGGAGAGGCAGAGAGAGAGGTCTTCCATCCGTTGGTTCAGTCCCCAAATAGCCACAATGGTCGGAGCTGTGCTGATCCAAAGCCAGGAGCCAGGAGCTTCCTCTGGGTCTCTCATGCAGGTGCAGGGACCCAAGGACTTAGGCATCTTCCACTGCTTTCCCAGGCCATAGCAGAAAGCTGGATGGGAAGTGGAGCAGCCGGGACTCAAATTGGTACCCATATGGGATGCCAGCACTGCAGGCATTGGCTTTACCTGCTATGCCACAGCGCCAGCCCCCAGGAAATGTCTTCTAAAAATATTCTCGTATTGGTATTTTGCCCTTACCAATATCTGAACATTGTGGTGCCTCCTAAAGCAAAAGGTGTTCATTTCTTTGTTTATTTTTAATTTTAGTTATTTGAGAGGCAGTGAGAGAGAACTCTGCTGGGTCACACCTCAAATCCCTGCAACTTCTGGGGCTGTGCAGAGCCAAAGCTGGAAACTCAATCCAGGTCTCCCATGTTGGTGGCAGGAACCCAATTACTTGAGCCATTACTACTGCCTCCCAGGGTCTGCGTTGGTGGGAAGCTGGAGCCAGCAACCAGAGCCGGAAATTGAATCCAGGTACTCTGATATGGGAAGTGGGCAACTTTGTCACTGGGTTAAATGATCAATCCAAATCACATATTTAAGTAGACCAAAATGTAACTAATTTTCCAAATATGTTTTTTCTTTTATACTGCCTTAGTAGCAGCTGCAATGAACACAAATTGCAGTTTTGCTCAGTCATTTTTGGTAATGGACCAACAAGGGTTTCTCAAGGTTGTGTAATGGTAAATGCAATTCAAGCATGTGAAAGGACAAGATTACAACAATTTAGCTTAATGATTTTAATAGACCTGTCTGCGATCTTAGAATCAGGCAATAATATGTGTTGTGAATAAGCATTTCAGTGAGCTGAAAAGAAAAAATTGGCTTTTATAAACAGAAAGCAGTAACAAAAGTCACTTGGTTGGGGCTGGTGCTGTGGCATAGTAACCTCTGCCTGTAGCACCGGCGTCCCATATGGGCACCAGTTCATGTTCCAGCTGCTCCATTTCTGATCCAGCTCCTTGCTTATGGCCTGGAAAAGCAGTGGAAGATGGCCCAGGCTTGGGCCTCTGCACCCACATGGAAGACCAGGAAGAAGCTCCTGGCTTCTAGCTCCGGATCACCCCAGCTCTGGCCACTGCAGCCATTTGGGGAGTGAACCAGCGAATGAAGACCTTTTTCTTGCTCTCCCTCTTTCTCTCTCTTTAACTCTGCTCCTCAAATAAACAAGTAAGTCTTTAAAAAAAATTTTTTTTTATTTTTGACAGGCAGAGTGGACAGTGAGAGAGAGAGAGAGACAGAGAGAAAGGTCTTCCTTTTGCCGTTGGTTCACCCTCCAATGGCCACCGCGGCCGGCGCGCTGCGGCAGGCGCATCGCGCTGATCCGAAGCCAGGAGCCAGGTGCTTTTCCTGGTCTCCCATGCGGGTGCAGGGCCCAAGGACTTGGGCCATCCTCCACTGCACTCCCAGGCCATAGCAGAGAGCTGGCCTGGAAGAGGGGCAACCAGGACAGAATCCGGCGCCCCGACTGAGACTAGAACCCAGTGTGCCGGCGCTGCAAGGCGGAGGATTAGCCTAGTGAGCCACGGGGCTGGCCAAAAAATTTTTTAAAATTGCTCATTTTAAGTTGCTGTCTATGTAAGGTGGAGAGGAGATGGGGGAGAACAATAGGAAAACTGAGGAGTTAACTCCAGGTTATTTCTGGTTACCTCTTTTTGTGTAAGGATTACTATCATTATCATGCCAAATGAAACACCTGATTGGGAAATTTGGCTTTCCTCTCTTTAATCCTGATGATTTTAGCCTATCAGATCATTCTGGTTTCAGCTTAATGACATGGAACCGTATCTTTTAATTAGAGAAATATTTTTAAAGTTTATTTTGCGGCCAGCGCCACGGCTCACTAGGCTAATCCTCCACCTTACGGCGCCGGCACACCGGGTTCTAGTCCCGGTCGGGGCGCCGGATTCTGTCCCGGTTGCCCCTCTTCCAGGCCAGCTCTCTGCTGTGGCCAGGGAGTGCAGTGGAGGATGGCCCAAGTGCTTGGGCCCTGCACCCTATGGGAGACCAGGATAAGTACCTGGTTCCTGACATCGGATCAGCGTGGTGCACCAGCCGCAGCGCGCTGGCCGCGGCGGCCATTGGAGGGTGAACCAACGGCAAAAGAAGACCTTTCTCTCTGTCTCTCTCACTGTCCACTCTGCCTGTCAAAAAAAATTTTTTTAAATAAATAAATAAAATAAAATAAAAACAAGCATACATAGGTAAAGATGAATTTATTTGGTCTGCTGCCTCACAGCAGTTTAGGTAAAATTATCTACTGTGTATTTTCCTGCAATTACTGTCTCTGGACTCTGCGTGGCCAACGTTGTCAATTCTGGTGAATTTTCAATGAGTGCCTGCAGGAGAAGAAATGGCAAGGAAGGTTTGAGGAGCACCTAATAGAGGCCAGGCTCAGAAAGCGTTTTCTGGGGAAGCCCAGTGAGGTGGATCGGGTCATTCCTGTTTTAAACAGTGACTTGGAGAGGTTGTATATTAGCCGTTGGCAGAAAGGAAGCCAGGAAGAACAAGGAGCAAAGCAGGCTCTTTCTCCTGAACCACACTGGCTGCTGCAATCCCCAATCCAGAGAGAAAAACAAAGCATACCTAAAGCTAGGTTGCAGAGCGGTGTCAAAATGTTAAATCTGGTTCCAGAGTGTAACGACTATTAGGAAATCATTTAGATTCAGAGGCATAAGTGGGTGAGAATGTGGATAGGATATGTGCACAATGAGTGGTATCCAGTCAAAAAGGATGATTTTCAGGAAAGTCTGAAGCCAAGACTCCCATAGAGACATAAAAATAAACATGCGCTAGCAGTTCTATTTAACTCACTAAGGAAGAGGCTAGTGAGGCTGTTAGAACCAGATCAAAGGAGAACTCCATGAATGGGTACATTTATAGATCAGGAATATTGAAGAGTGAAAGATCAGGAATATTGAAACTGGATATTCATAGAGGAGGAAGAAGAATGGTGTCCCTTTGCTGGATAAATATTTATTTATTTATTTATTGGAAAGTCAGAGCAACAAGGGGTGAGGGGGAGAGAAATCTTCCACCCACTGGTTCACTCCCCGGTAACGGTTGGGCTAGCTGGGCTAGGCAAAACCTGTAGACAGGAGCTACATCCAGATCTCCCACATGGGTGGCCGGGGTTCACATACTTGGGCCATCCTCCACTGCTTTCCCAGGGCAAGTTAGTAGGGAGCTGGATTGGAAGTAAAGCAGTCAGGGCTGGAACCAGCAGTCTGATAGGGGATTTCAGTCACATGCAGTGGCTTAACCAACTGCTACAACACCAGGGCCTCACTAGATAAATCCTATAACCTGTCTATAGATAAGACATCCTTCACATTGCTATCAGTTACTACAATGTACAGAACTGTAAAATGGTTCTCACCATCCCTACTTTTTGCTTGATGCACACAATTTTCCCTGCTCTCCCCACCCCGCCTCAATTTCTTGACGGGATGCCTTCATAGCATTTCATGCCTAGGCATTGGCAGTTGACTTTCTAGGCTGTTTTCCAGTCTCATGGTTTTGTTAGGCACATTCCCCATAGACATATGCCCTGAACAATTCTGTAGACATACCAAAACTAAACATAATTTGGGAGGGGTGATTACTTTATCAGCAAACATCTACAATTTAAAAGGGAACGATATGATACATATATGATAAGATAGAATACTTGGTATGTATTTTAAAAATTACTTGTGTCTACCCTTGCAATGATTTTGACCAAAAGCCAAGCTATTCTGGCCAGCATATTGAATATCTTCTTGCCAGCTTTTGAAGTTGTAGGGAATACTTCATTTCGGCAAAGATTTATTTTCCTTTTTCTTTTTTTTTTAATAAGCTGAGGAGCTTGACATAATTGTTTTTCTTTTTTTTTTTTTCTTTTTTTTTATTTTTTGACAGGCAGAGTGGACAGTGAGAGAGAGAGACAGAGAGAGAAAGGTCTTCCTTTTGCCGTTGGTTCACCCTCCAATGGCCACCGCTGCAGCCGGCGCACCGCGCTGATCCAATGGCAGGAGCCAGGATCCAGGTGCTTTTCCTGGTCTCCCATGGGGTGCAGGGCCCAAGCACCTGGGCCATCCTCCACTGCACTCCCTGGCCATAGCAGAGAGCTGGCCTGGAAGAGGGGCAACCGGGACAGAATCCGGCGCCCCGACCGGGACTAGAACCCGGTGTGCCGGCGCCGCAAGGTGGAGGATTAGCCTATTGAGCCACGGCGCCGGCCGACATAATTGTTTTTCTGAGAGCCTGAGTCATGTAGTACAATTTCTAGTGAAACTAGATTAGATTACTTTAACAATGACATTAAGGGGAACTTTTTTATTTGGATATCTTGCTAAGCATTTTTGTGTTAGAAAGATCTGAAATTAGGGAGTCATATTCTATTTTACAGATGAAATGTTGGCCAATTCCATAATCAAAATTAAAACTAATAAAAATCAAAAATTTGAATTTGGATTTTTTTTAAATGGGATTCCCAAACAGGGTGGCTGTGGAAGGGTGTGGACTTCCGCATATGAAGCCATCAGAAGGGGGTGGGCTTTGGTGTATAAAGCCAGTGCTCTTGGCAGCTGGGCTCTGAGGAAGGAGGACCAGGCCCTTTGTGCCTGGGACTCCCAGCAGCCTTTGGCAGGAGGAACAGTGAAGCTGGATCTGAAGACCGGAAGCCAGTACTGATTCAAGGAAAAAACAAACTCAGGGAACAGGTAACTCAAATTTGCTTTGTATTTATTTGAAGAGTGTCATTTGTGGCTAGGCTTACATTTAATGTCATAGCTCTGATTTGTGGGCACTATTTCCATTCTAAAATTTCTAGGACAGACCACATTGCAAAGATACTATTCTGTCTTCCTATTAAATAGAGGCCTTGCCCTGGTATAGATTTTAGAATAGACTTATTCATTGCACCAATAGTAATGGAAAAGTTTTGGAGAATTGTTTATGGCAAGATATCTTGGGATAGGATGTATTTTTTTTTTTAATTTATTTGAAAGATAGAGTTAGACAGAGAGAGAGACAGAGACAGAGAGAAAGGTCTTCCTTACGTTGGTTCACCCCCCAAATGGCCGCCACGGCCGGCGCTACGCCAATCTGAGGCCAGGAGCCAGGTGCTTCCTCCTAGTCTCCAACGCGGGTGCAGGCGCCCAAGCACTCGGGTCATTCTTCACTGCCTTCCCGTGCCACAGCAGAGAGCTGGACTGGAAGAGGAGCAACCGGGACTAGAACCCGGCACCCACATGGAATGCCAGCGCTGCAGTTGGAGGATTAAACAAGTGAGCCATGGTGCAGGCCCCTAGGATGTATTTCTTTAAATGTAGGTATCACTTACGTACAGCAAAGAGTATAGCTTTTTTTTTTTAAGATTTATTTATTTAAAGTCAGAGTTACACAGAGAGGAGAGGCAGAGAGAGAGAGGTCTTCCATCCGATGGTTCACTTTCCAATTGGCCACAATGGCTTGAGCTGTGCTCATCTGAAGCCAGGAGCCAGGAGCCTCCTCTGGGTATCCCACCGTGGTGCAGGGGTCCAAAGACTTGGGCCATCTTCTGCCTTCCCAGACCACAGCAGAGTGCTGGATGGGAAGTGCAGCAGCTGGATCTCCAACCAGCGCCCATACGGGATGCTGGCACCCCAGGTCAGGGTGTTAACCCGCTGTGCCACTGGGCCAGCCCCAGAGTATAGCTTTTAAGTAAGTCTTGTGTTAATTGTTTATACCCATAGAGCTATGTCCTATCAAGATAAGGATATTTCACCCACCCAGAAACTCCCTCAGGCCCTTTAACAGCTAGTTCCCACCCCCACCACAGAGGTGAAAACAGTTCTGATTTGAATCAGCAGGAAGTACTGTAGTTTTGCCTAATTTGGGACTTGGTAAAAATGGAATCACAAAGTATGCCCTGTTTATGTCTAGATTCTCTCACAGCACATTGTTTGAAATGCATTTGTTTTGTTCCAAGTAACAGCAGTTCATTCCTTTTTACAAATCACCTTTCCTGAGTGTGGTCTCTTGTGCGTGATTTGGTATAAATGTTGGTATTGATCTCCACAGTCAAGTTATACAGTACTTTATCACTTTATCACTGAAATTCCTTCAGTGCTCAACTGCTGTCAGTCCCTTACCGCTTCCCTCCCTAAGCAACCACTTCTCCTTTCTATCGATATAGAGTAGTTTTGCATGCTCTCAGACTTTATATTTTAATAGAATCATATATTTCTGGATGTTTTTGGCACAGCATAATTTTTTGAAAGATTTATTTAATTAGAAAGGCAGAGTTACAGAAAGAGAGGAAGAGACAGAGAGAAAGAACAAGATCTTCCATCCAACCGTTGGCTCCCAAATGACCACAATGGCTGGGACTGGGCCAGGCGGAAGCCAGGAGACAGGAACTCCATCCTCATCTCCCAGGTGGGTGGCAGGGACCCAAATGCTTTAGCTTTCTTCCACTGGTTATCTGGGCACATCAGCAGAAAGCTGGTTGGAAGTAGAACAGCTGGGACTTGAACCAATGCTTATATGAGATGCCAGCTTAAACAGTTGAGGCACAGCAGTTCATGCCATTTTATATTCCTGCAAGCAATTTATAGGATTTCAGGGGCTCAGAATCTTTGCTAACATTTGATATGCTGGCCTTTTTCACTTAGCCATTCTAGTCATTGTTTTCTCTTTTTTGGGGGGGAGGGATGGTTCTTATTTATTTATTTGAAAAGCAGAGGGACAGGGAGGGGGATACAGAAATCTTAATCCTCTCAGAATGCATCCCTATTGTTATGTGATGCATGGCTGTTCATACAAAGAAACTTCAAAAAGTTCATGGGAAAGAAATTAGCTAATGTGCACTTTCCATGAACTCTTTGAAGTAGTACCCTTATATGTTGCTAATCTAAAGTTTCAGGAAAATAACCCAGCTTCACTCTGAAATTCACTCTGAATTTAACATGCATCATTTTTCGAAAATCCTATTTATAATTCAATAAATTTCTATTGACACTACTATCTGAAAAACTCTTCTAAAATAACGTGGAATTGGGATTTTGAGAATATAGTCAGGTTCTCTCTGTAAGGAAAAGGGGCATGGAACAGAGAGGAGATGGGATACAAACCCACAGCCAAAATTTATTCTCAGAGCTGGGTGACTAACTGCACACAGGCTGGACATGTGGCAGAGGGCCTAGACTTCAGCAGGCTGGGCTTCTTTATATCTTAGGGTGGGCTAGGGGTCTGGAGAAGAGGTGGGCAGAGAGATAGAGGTGAGTTTCTCCATACATGTTTTTCAAAATGGCACTGGCTTTTAAACCTAAAGAATGCAGGGGCTCAGGTGGGGAACAATAGAGGGCATGAGACTGAACTGGGTCTCTTGAAAGGAGGCAGGGATAAGAGATAAATTTTGGATTTCAAAGGATGCAGGGGTAAGGGGTAAATTTTGATTTTATCTACTTTCAGGCAAGGAGCTAGAATGGCTGAGGCTTATGTCCTTGTTCCATCAGTCCTAAAGGAGTACAGATAAGGAGATGGGACCCTGGTTTCTTCCTAGCTATTTCCTGCTGATATGGGGTGTTGACTCAGGGCAGGGTTACCTATACTCTGGATCTGATTGATTAAAGAAGAGTCTTGTGTTGTTCCTGCCTGTGGTTCAGGATCTAGCAACCATTCATTCCTGTAAGAACTTTTGAAATATGTAAATTATACATGGTGGGGGGCCGGTGCCATGGCTTACTTGGTTAATGCTCCACCTGCTGCACCGGCATCCCATATGGGCACCAGGTTCTAGTCCCGGTTGCTCCTCTTCCAGTCCAGCTCTCTGCTTTGGCCTGGGAAAGCTGTGGAGAACATTCCAGGTCCTTGGGCCCTGCACCCACATGGGAGACCGGGAGAAGCACCTGGCTCCTGGCTTCAGATCGGCACAGCACGGCTGTAGCAGCCATTAGGGGAGTGAACCAACGGAAGGAAGACCTTTCTCTCTTTCTCTCTCACTGTCTAACTCTGCCTAGCAAAAAAAAAGGGGGGGGGGCATTTTTTTCCCCCAAGAGAGTAATCTTCCTAGATTCAAAGGAGAGAAATTCCTTTAAACCCAATGTTCAGTTACAGCTGAACCAAATTTTTCATGCATGAGATTATTATTTACCAAAGACATCTCTTTAGATTTTAAATTGAATTTGAGTCTACCTTTGTACCCAAGAAAACACCTTAGGCCAATGATGCCTAGTCAACAGCTACTTGAAACTGTATCTGAAACACATTCAGGCAGCTGCAAGACAGGTCCCAAAGGTGACTGTGGGCTAGGGGCCATTGTGCCAGGGATGAGAAGTCCACTGGGGATTATTCACCAATATGTTAAATTTAATGGGGGAGGGCATCCATTAGAACAGATGGGCACCCTTCTGGTTGGAGAGAGTCCTAAGGAGGTGACTCTGAAAGGTGACAGAATGAAGGGCAATTATGGAGAAAGAGAGTGGGCAAGCCTCTGGCTCCATGCAATACTGGCAGAGATTTTGGCTGCCGCTAGACAAGGCAGGGGAAAAGAGAAGAAGGCTAGGCATGGAGCATTCTTTAGAGCAAAGTTTCTCAGGACTTACCACTGTTCTTGAGTTTTCCTTGCTAAGCTCCGCCAAATATATTACTGGAGATGGCTGGAACAGAGCTTTTGACTCCGCGTGAGAGGATTTAGATGTGAGGCAGAGTAGTGGTGTGAGATGCAGCTCCATTATGTTAGGTTTTAGGATTTTAGGATTTGTAAGAGAGGAGGCAGTTAGTTAGAGGAGACTTTGTTTTAGGGAGGACAGAATAGGGGGCAAAGAGAGAGTAGGAGCTGAGCTCCCTGGACAGAGGGCAGGGGTGAGGTGGGGTGTTGAAGCAGGTTTTCTTGCATTTGAACAGCAGGCAGAGTCCTTTCTTAAGCTACTTGTTGGGGGAGGTGCAGAGCACCACCTGGACCTTGGCAGAAGATGTGGGAGGCTCCTTGTTGAAGTTTACAGTGCATCATCTCAGTAGTTCGGAATATCCCAGGTGTGGGGCTTTCAAAAGCAATAAACATCCTGCTAGTCTTTACAGTATCCTTTTTTTTTTTTTTTTTGGACAGGTAGAGTTAGACAGTGAGGGAGGGAGACAGAGAGAAAGGTCTTCCTTCCATTGGTTCACCCCCCAAATGGCCGTTACAGCTGGTGTACTGTGCTGATCCGAAGCCAGGAGCCAGGTGCTTCCTCCTGGTCTCCCATGCGGGTGCAGGGCCCAAGCCTTGGGCCATCCTCCACTGCCCTCCCGGGCCACAGAAGAGAGTTGGACTGGAAGAGGGGCAACTGGGACAGAATCCTGCGCTCCAACTGGGATTAGAACCCAGAGTACTGGCACCACAGGCGGAAGATTAGCCTAATGAGCTGCGGCGCTGGCCTACAGTATTTTTCTGTGCCCAAGAGGAAAGAGTGGCAGAAAGGAGACCAAGAGGTCAGGAAGAGAGGAGGGAAGGCAGTTTTGGCTGCCACTGAAGGGAAGAAGCAGGGAAGATCCAGACAGGGGGACAGGCAAGTAAAGGGTCCTGTTCCTGAGGGGGCAGCATCCCTGAGGAAGAGGAAGATAGAAGAAGTCCAGGGTTTGAGAGGAGTCTCCAAGCCTTTCTCCTGCTGGAGGGATTGGAATGAGGAAAGATGACCTTGGAGGAGGATAAAGGTTTAGATGTAGGGGGCCTCTGACCATTTGCCATTTCTCTGTGTAAAGTTATTAATGTCATGAAGAACTTTGAGGGCAAAAGTGCCAATTTCTTGGACATTTCTTTGGTCTTATCTTCCCCTCTAGGCTCAACTTGCACAAATTTAAGAGAGATCAGAAGCGGGCCAGGCAAAATGTGAGAAATTTCAGAGCCCATGGATTTGGTTAGAATGGGCCCATAGATCGGAGGGTCCCTCTCTTAGGGCATCCCCCATGGACTACCATGCAACCCAAATCTTCTCCCAGAGATGAGTGTTCCTGACTCTAAGATAAGCATTCTCACCCAAAAGTGGGATTAAGCCCACCCCATCTTAGACATCCTGGAGGTTTCCTCTTTTTCTGGAACAAAAGGGGTGGGAAGTGGGACTAAAATCTACTGTAGGCCTCCCAGAGGTAAGGGACAACGGCCGGTCTCCCTTGAACTTTGGAGAGATAAGGGCTGACTTCTTCCAATCCAACGGGCTGAGAATGGGGTCCAATGTGTAGCAATGAGATCTGGTGAGGAGTCAGATGGGTTAGTAGGTAGTCAGGGTGGTCCCATTGGAATTTGGGTTGTAAAATGTTTGCAAGAACAAACAGGCTGCCCTCCTTCCTTCATAATCTCCAAATTTACCATGAGAATAGCAAGGGAGTTCTTCCTAATGTCACAGTTTATAGTGAAAACAAGTTACCTATCCCACCCTTCTGGGTAGTCTGACAAGATGGACAATTGTAAATCAGGTCCTTTGGGTTTTGTCCCCTCCTAGTAACTGAATCCCAATCTGATTGTCAAGTTTTTTTCCCTTCGAAATTGTGCTTAAAAACCCAAATGCTATGGGGCCTTTTGGGTTCTTTCCTCTCTTGGAAGCCCCCCTCTATGCCGCTCTGGCTGGAGGTCTTTTTAAAAAGATTTATTTATTTTACTTGAAAGAGTTACACAGAGAGAGGAGAGGCAGAGAGATAGAGAGATAGAGAGATAGAGAGAGAGAGAGAGAGAGAGAGAGAGGTCTTCCATCTGCCGGTTCACTCCCCAATTGGCTACAATGGCCAAAACTGCACTGATCTGAAGCCAGGAGCCAGGAGCTTCTTCTGGGTCTCCCACGTGAGTGCAGGGGCCCAAGGACTTGGGCCATCTTCTACTGCTTTCCCAGGCCACAGCAGAGAGCTGGATGGGAAGTGGAGCAGCCGGGACTCGAACTGGTGCCCATATGGGATGCCAGCACTTCAGGCCATGGTGTTAACCCACTGCGCCACAGCACTGGCCCCAGGTCTTTGGTTCTAAAAAATCTTTTTAAATCTCTGCTGTCCGCTTGGAAATTCTTCTTCCATGTGAGACAAAGAACCAAAGTAACAATAATTTCTCTGCTGCCATTTTCCTGTAATAATCTGGCAAAGGCTCTGGCTCTAAATTTGTCAAAAAACAAGAAAGTACAGTGCAAGTGAGAAAGTGAGTGCCTAAGGCAGTTCTCAAATCATCTGGTTAGTCCTGGAAAAGCGTCTATCAGGGCTGTACAGGTCACTCTGAGGATGACCAGGGTGACCTGAGAGTTACAGCCTCCCTCCACCTAGGAGCAGCACTTGGTCAGAAATGACAGTAAAAAGGGGAAGGTGACCCGTGAATATCCAAAAACAGAGATTGTAGGAAAGAGAATATAAGGGGTGGGCAGAGACAGAAAAAAGGGGGAGGAGTTCAGAAAGGAGAAGAAAGTTCAGAGGAAGTGGGGAGGGGTCATGGCTTTTATTCAGAGAATACAGGAGTACCTGGTTTGGACAAGAAGTTGACCCCTTGCTCCCCACCTCAAGGGGCACCAAATGTAAAGAAGAGGAGCATAGGACAGAGAGGAGACTGGATGTGAACTCACAGCCAAAACAAAATTTATTCTCAGAGGTGAGTGACCAACTGCCAGCATGCACACAGACCAAATACATGGCAGAGGGCCCAGACTTCAGCAGGCTGGGCTATTTTATATGAGTGGGCTAGGGGTCTCCAAGGGAGGTGGGGGTGAGAGAAGGAAGTGAGTTTCTCCATACAGGTTTTTCAAGTTTGGTTCCAGCTTTCAAACCTAGAGAAGCATACTGGGGGTCAGGTGGAGAACAATAGAGGGTGTGAGACTGAATTGGATCTTTGGAGGCAGGGGTAAGGAGGCAGGGTCAGGGGTAAATTTCAGATTTTGAAGGATGCAGAGTAAGGAGTAAATTACAATTTTATCTACTTTCAGGCAAGGAACTAGAATGGCTGAGGCTTATGTCCTTGTTCCATCACCCTCAACACAGTGTAAGAGGAGAGACTACTAAACTTGCATTAGAACAGTCCAGGCTCCATTTGTTCAATGTGAAAACTGGCACAAATCATACTGTTGCCTCCAGTCTTTCAATTCTTCATGTTTAAAACAAATAAGAACTATACCACCTCTATATCAGAGAAAAGTTAAAAAATAAAATTTTCTAAATGTGAAAACTTTAGAGATTGTGTAAGTTATAGTCATGATGACAGAAGAGAAGTATCTCCCCAATGATAAAATAATGACGAAAACCTAATGACTCCCAATGAAATCATTAGCTATAAGCATCTCCACCAAGAGAGGCAATGACCTTGATGGAATGTGGGTTAACCTATTTTACAGTTGAGCAACTGAACTGCAATACACTAGTAAAAGAATGGAGTATCTCTGTCCTTTAACTGATGCAACAAGGAAATGAGTGCACTCGGAAAAAACAGTCAACACTTGTAATTATTCTCAGTGGTAGGGCTGGACTCTCATTCTCTTTGCACAAGACTGCCTTCCTCAACTCCTGTACACTGGACTTCCTGATACCCATTGTTCTCTACCTTCTGCCTTCTCCACATAGGCTATAGTTGTTTGATTTAAATTTACTCAACATCTTTCTTGGGTGCCTACTCTGTGTCAGATACTAGCCTTGTCTTCCTGAGGGTTACATTTCAGTGAGGCGTATGAGTATATTGTCTTTTTCTGCTTGATCTTCCCAACTAAACCCATTCAATAGCAGCACTAGAATGGTAAAGACAAATTGGTAACATGGTCTTGGGTCCCCAAGCTGCATATAGAAGATGTCGACTTAGAGTTAATCACCATAGATGGAGAGAACATTCTAGTTGCAGAGTCAGCAGATGCTACCCCATGAAGACCATCCTTCATTACCAAGCCTCAGTAATTACCTACCTGATCTAGCCTTTCCTATAAAATCTTTAGTAATAAAGATGGAGCCTACAAACCCAGCAGCTTCCCAGGAAAATGAGAAAACCTGTGCTCTCTTGGCCAAGGGGGCGGGTGGAGGATAATCAACTCCAGTTTGCCCTTGGCGAAGTTTTCACATTGTCAGCATCGCTCACCATTGCTGTAATATCTGCTCTAAAATGTCAGCAGTTTTGTTTCTATACTGGTTAAGCAAGGACTTTGTTGACATAAAAAGGAAATGGTGTTTACCTTGTTTAACTTACAAAGAAATTATGCAGTTGTCTGGGGTCATTTTGATGAAGTGGTGGAGTAGGTGGCAAGCCATGGTGTGACCCAATCAGCCCACTTCTGGATACCTGGAATTCCACCCAAGTGACTTGATCTTCTGGGATGAGAGCCCTCTTGCATCTCTCCAGCCCACTTTAATTGTCCCTGGAAGTTCTTTCTACTAAGCTGTAATCTATAGTATGAATGTATATTTGAATACATTTTACTCACTGTGAAACTGGGTTGTCATTAGGTTAAGTGCAGTAGCAGAAGGGAAATGGCCACCAGAATGAGTTACTGTGGAGTAGCTGAACGATTCCTGTTAGGTGTTAGGGAGACTCAGGTTCAGTTCTTGACTGTGTAGTCACCTGGGAATTTGGCAACATAATATATTTTACAGTTATTATGAGTATTTAATAAAACAGTATGCAGAAAAGCATCATATGTGGAGCAGGTTGATTTCTTTCCTATATTATCTCAGAGAAGTTAATGACAGTCAGAACCACCAAAAAATGTGTAAACTGTTCCACAAAGCCTGATCTGAGTGTGCGGGATCAGTGAATTTTCCTATGCATATTGTAAACCATATGAAAAAGCAAGATGTTTTAAAAATATAGCCACCACAACAGTTTTTTTTTCCTGCTGATTTTTATCTCTAAGGCTTGAATTTCAATCAATGTCTACCTTAGGAAAAAGTGTGAACTATAAATTAGTTACCTGCAAGCTATGAGTTTAATTTATTATGAATTTTTGGAAGATTGGAGATACCTAAAAAAATACCTCGGATATCTATTAAGTGTTCAGCACAAAGCTAGCAAGGAACAGTTGAACATAGTGGTATGTATGTAAATTTAAAAATTAAATTACATTCAGTATGTTAAAGGTTTCAGAATCACTGCAAACATAGTCAGAGATAGGTTTAGTCAACTGAATTTGTTCCCATGGAAGTTCTCCACCTACCAGATGTATACTAGTAATTCATTTGCCAATGTTTCACTTAGGTTCTGCCATGCATTGGCCTGTTGGTTATCATTTATTGGTAGCCACTCATTGTCATGTTTGTAACAGAGAATACTAGGAAAGTGTAACTCTGTTCTCAGCAATAATGAATAAGAAATTCATCAACAAAGAAGGGCTTGGCTGCCTTACTTGGACTATTTGAGAGTAGCTTTTCATCATTCACTTTTTTCCTGTTCAGCCATAGATACATGAAATAATCAAATATCGAAATAATCAGGTTCTCATTATATCCAAGATGGAAAAAAAAAACTTAATTTTTGCTTTGCTTCAATTTGATCAGCCATGGAGTATTTCAGAATGTCACCAAGCAGTTCCTGGATTTATCCCACCGTGATCCTCTGCTTATTTGGATTTTTCTCCATGATGAGACCTTCAGAACCCTTCCTTATCCCATATTTATCTGGAACAAGTAAAAATTTGACGAGCACAGAGGTACGTTAATAAACATACATATCTTAGGCTGGTTTAATTTCACTGGAACATGGACATAGTCAGGGTTTCATTCCACTTGAAAGTACAGTGGCCACACTGACCTCAATGAGTCCCATTTTCATTTGTCATGTAATATAACATTTCAAACTACTCTTTTTAAAAAAAAAAAAATATTTATTTAAAAGTCAGAGTTACCCGGAGAGAGGAGAGGCAGAGAGAGGTCTTCCATTCGCTGTTTCATTCCCCAATTGACCACAACAGCCGGAGCTTCTTCCAGGTCTCCCATGTAGGTGCAGGGGCCCAAGGACTTGGGCCATAGTCCATTGCTTTCTCAGGCTACAGCAGAGAGCTGGATTGGAAGTGGAGCGGCTGGGTCTCGAACCAATGCCCATGTGGAATGTCAGCACTACAGGCAGCAGCTTTACCCAATATGCCACAACTCTGGTCTCACACTACTCTTAAAAATGGGAGCTGAAATATTAAATCTGTAATAAATGTTTTAAATTATAGAGACTCCTAACATTTGTCTTAATGCATAGGATCATTTTAATTCTCCATTGATTGCAGTCACCACCAGGCACAGGATCTAGTCTTAAAACAACTGATGGGTCACCAAGATGTAACTGAGATCTAATAAAGAATTACACAGTCACATGCCACAAAAGGGATGTCTTGGTCAATGGCAGACTGCACATATGACCATCGTACCACAGTAAGATGATGGAGCTGAAATCCCTTTGCCTGGTGACACCGCTGCTTTATGTCATAACACAAAGCATTACTTATGTGTTTGTAGTGATGCTGGTATATACTGTACTGCCAGCTGTATCCAAGTATAACGTATATAATTAAATATAGTATATAATACTTAATGGTAATAAATGATTGTTACTGATTTATATATTTACTAAAGTCTCATTGTTTTAGATTATATTCCTACTTATAAAGCAGTGTGCTGTATTACACTAGCTGTAACTTTACATCTCACACTTATTGCAATCTTTTGATAATTGCTTCAATTTCTTTTATTAATCTCTGGCTGTTCAGTTTATTGTGATCCTGAGTGATAGGTCCCACTATATCTTAGGTATGTAGTAGGTTTGTGTGAGTATACCCTATGAAGTTCACACAAAAACAAAATTGCCCAGTGTTGCATTTCTCAGAATACTTCCCCATCATTGAGAGACCTATGATAGACATATGATAGTCCTTAGGACTCCTAAATCAGTTATTTATTTATTTGACAGAGTTAGACAGTGAGAGAGAGAGACAGAGAGAAAAAGTCTTCTTTCCGTTGGTTCACACCCCAAATGGCCACTATGGCTGGCACTACACCGATCCGAAGCCAGAAACCAGGTGCTTCCTCCTGGTCTCCAATGTGGGTGCAGGGGCCCAAGGACTTGGCCATTCTCCACTGCCCTTCCAGGCCACAGCAGAGAGCTGGACTGGAAGAGGAACAACCAGGACTAGAGCCACAGCATCTGCCCCCTAAATCAGTTTTGAAAAATATACACCAACAGATGAGACACTAGCATCTTCATATCCCAGCCCAAGAAGGTTCAATTTTCTTAAAATATCTCCCTCCTTACCACAAGTACAACAAGAAAACACAATGGACCCACTGGAAAATTACCTTGATCTGGTTAAACCGACAAGCCACAAATGGAAACATAGTGTAGAGTGTGCAGTTTCACCTGCAGAGCTAATTAGTGCTAAGCTGAGTGATGGTGAGATAGAAAGGACCAGAAGAAGACAAGCTAGTTCTATAGTGTAAAGTCACTTAGGAAGAATTGTGTTTCAGACCTTCCCAGATGAGCGCGTGTCTCAAGTAAGGCAACAGAGGTGCAGGTCCAGAATCAGCTCAATAACCCCATGTGGGGACCATTTAATACACCCACTCTCAAAGCAAAGGCACAGTTGGAACTGGCCTTTGTTCAGTGCCCTCTTACAACCTCAGTGGACCCAAATGTCCTGCAGCAACCTCAGTGGACCCAAATGTCAACAAAGAGGAAAAGTTCACTGATTTGACAGGCAGCTGCACTCACCCATCATGCCTCTGAAGATTTTGACAACTTCTACTATCCTTCCTTTATTTCTATGGAAACTGAGGTCTCTTGCATTTCTCATTAATCCATGAGAAGACTCATTAAATTGAGACCAGATTTGCACAATAAGCAAATCAATTGAATTGTGGGAGGAAAGAGTTGGGAGCCTAGCAAATTCATTTGTCCAGGCAGGATGTGAAATGCATTGTTTGTTCCCACTCCTTAATCTGCAGAGTCATTTACTCTGTTCCTAACTTCAGGTGTGTGTTCATCCAGACTTAGGAAGGGCTGAACTGTTTGACTTAGGGAAGAATCAAATGAAGATAAGGGTTGTCAGACTCTTAACATTGTAACCTCTTGATATAATGCTAATCTTTGAACAAGAGGGGAATGGTGTTTTTTAAGAAACTGAAAAACCCAGAACTATCTGTACAGTTTTTTAAAAGTCCTCCTGTGTGTACTATTTTAAACTTAACATTGTTCAGATTCCCCATTGACCTAATTTGTTCTACAAGGATACACATACATATGTGGGGAAGGAAACTATCTTAGTGGTTTCTTTGAAAGTCAGCTTCCTGTCACATTTTTCTGATAAAGAATGTGTGATTCGACGCAGACTTTGAGAAGCCATCTGTGCCTTAGTAATGTGCTGGTGGTCACACTGTTTGTCAACCTCACAGATCACAAATGAGATTCTTCCTGTTTGGACCTACTCTTACCTGGTGCTACTGCTCCCTGTGTTCGTCCTCACCGACTACGTCCGCTATAAGCCGGTCATCATCCTGCAAGGGATCAGCTTCATCATTACTTGGTTGCTGCTCTTGTTTGGCCAAGGAGTGAAGGCCATGCAGGTTGTTGAGTTCTTCTACGGGATGGTCACGGCCACTGAGGTAGCTTACTATGCCTACATCTACAGCGTGGTCAGCCCAGAGCACTATCAGAAAGTGAGCAGCTACTGTAGGAGCATCACACTGGTGTCTTATACAGCTGCCTCCTTGCTGGCCCAGCTCCTAGTGTCCCTGGCCAACCTGTCGTACTTTCATCTCAATGTCATAACCATGGTCTCCGTCTCTGTGGCCTTCATTTTCTCGCTTTTTCTACCAATGCCCAAGAAAAGTATGTTCTTTCATGCAAAACCCAGCAAAGAGATAAAGGAGTCACCAAGCACAGACACAATATTAAGAGAAGCCTGTAAGAATGAAGCACCAGGCTATGAAGAGAAGAAACTCACCGTGACTTCAGGGAACCAGGATAACGGCCACTTAAGCAGCCCCAAAACAGTGGCTTTGAAAGTTTTTGTGCAGTGGTTCCAAGATTTGAAGGAATGCTACTCCTCAAAACATCTTTTTTACTGGTCCTTATGGTGGGCCTTTTCCACAGCAGGTTTTAACCAGACTTTGAACTATGTTCAAATCCTATGGGATTACAAGGCACCATCACAAAATTCTTTGATCTATAATGGGGCAGTGGAAGCTATTGCAACATTTGGAGGTAAGTGTTGATTTCTCTTCCTTTGGCAGGTTACCCCTTTAAGTTCATTTCTCCTGATACTAAATTTTACTAAGTGGTAATAAATTAGCTCCGAGGCATAATAATTTTTTCAAGAATGGAAGGTCCTGGGCAAATAAGAGTGCTGTGACCATGTATTTAATGTGTTATCATTTTAAGCAGCTCAAGAGCTCAGCACTCAGCACCATACAATACAATTCTGGTCAAATCCCTAAGATTCCATTTTGTCATTAGAACATGAACTAATAATGTGCTCTAATCTTTCAGGATTTCACTTAATAGTACAGAAAAAATACAAGGGAGCTTTATTAATGACATTAGAAAATGCATTAAAGGCTTCTAAGTTCTCACTGGAAGAGAGTTTTTGTTAAAGGATTTGGTACAGCTAGTACTCACCTCTAATAATTCTAGGTTATACACCAACATGATTTAAAAGTAGCTTTCTTATGGGATTTAAATGAAGTTGTGAAAGGGAGGAGCAAATCAGAATTCTAATCTCAGAGGAAAATTTCCCTTTGAAGTGTACTCTACAATAAATATTTATATCCTGGCAAACGAGAACTTAAAGGAGACTTTGAAGATATTTTCTAGGAAGTCAGAATTTTCCACACCCTCATTTACAAAAAGTTTCAGAAAACCCATGTGACCTATATTTTATTAATCTTCCTTTTGGAAGGCTTCTAACTCCTAGAAGCCAAGACTGTGCTAAATTGGTTCACTGAACTAACTCCACATTCCAAATTCTTGGAAAGAAAATCTTTTCAAACTCTTTGTAGTCGTGGTTCTTGCACCACTTGTGGGAAAGTTGATTCACAAATGTCAACCATTTGAAACTGAAATACTGTTCGTCTTGTTAAACAGCCATAATTGCTGTCGATTATTGAGCTTCTTAAACGCTATAAAGACATATTCTCACCCAATACCTCAAGAGAGTTAGGTCAGCTCTTGAGGCCCTTAAGGTGGAGATTAAAAGTAAGATTATGATGACTAAAGATTAATAATAAGCAGTACAACTAATTCCTCAGTGCAACACATTTCTGATCCCCATCACTGAATAAAGCGTGTGAGCAAAGATGCTAAAGGAAGGCAACTGGAGGGGCCACGTGCGCTCCCATGCTGCACGTCGTGGTGTTGGGATTCAACTGTCGTTCCCCTACACTGCCATGGATGGTAGGAACCTTTCTGGCTCTCTTCATAATACAATCCCTTGGAGTGTAGTTTTTGTTTTTTAAGATTTACTTCATTTATTTGAAAGCTGGAGTAACAGAGAGGGAGAGATAGAGAGAGAAAAAGAGGTCTGCCATCCCTTGGTTCACTCCCCAAATGGCCACCATAGCCAAGGCTGGGCTAGGCCGAAGCCAGGAGCCAGGAGCTTCTACTGGGCCTCCCATGTAGGTACAGAGGTCCAAGCACTCAGGCCATCCTCTGATGCTTTCTCAGACCATTAGCAGGGAGCTGGATTGGAAGTGGAGGAGCCAGGACTTGAACTGGTGGCCATGTGGGATACTTGTACTGCCAGTGGTGGCTTAACCCACTACACCACAGCACCGGCCCCCTGGTATGTAGTTGACACTAAATGAAAGTGTGATGATGAAGTAAATAACTGAAAGACTAAGAAGTGAAAAAAGAAGCCAAGAGAAGACACGACTGGAAAAAGATAAGTTTACATTTAGGTGGTTCACAACTTTTGTGATAGCAATATTCCTCTTTTGGAATTACCCACGCCATGGGTTTTGTTGTTGTCTGTTGTATGTGAAGTCATTGTGTTCCTGTTCTTGTTGCTTCCTTCTCAGGGGCTGTGGCTGCCTTTGCTGTGGGTTATGTAAGGGTCAACTGGGATCTTCTGGGAGAGCTGGCTCTGGCAATCTTCTCAGTTGTCAGCGCAGGCTCTCTGTTTGTCATGCATTACACAGTCAACATCTGGGTCTGCTATGCTGGCTACCTGATCTTCAAGTCCAGCTACATGCTTCTTATAACCATAGCAGTGTAAGTATCACCAGCAAGTTCTTTCCTCTCCTAAAACTAAGCCATAATCCACTCTTGAACTTCACAAGGGATTTAATCAACTCCAATATTAAATGTAAATTACTTCATACTAAGTAAGACCCAACTAAGGTAGTCTTTTTATTGATCTATTTGCTTTCTGAATATTGCTAAGATTACTTGTTAAGAAAAAGTCTCTGTAGGTCTCTTTTTTAGATTGGGGTTGGTCCAGTCAGAAGCCAAGAACCTGGAGCTCCATCTGGGTCTTGCATTTGGATGACAGGGGCTCAAGTACTTGGTCCATCCCCTACTGTTTTCCCAGGTACATTAGCAGGGAGCTGGATCGGAAAGCAGAGCAGCCAGTATTCACACAGGCACTCTGATACAAGATGCCAGTGTTGAAGGTGACAGCTTAGCTCACCACACCACAACCTGGCACTTCTGCAGGTTTCTAAGACCAAAGCAATGATAATTTTCAGCAAATTGCCACAATAAAAGGTCAATTATTTTCTTTAAAAATTCCCTGGGAATATAGAGTTTCCTGTAATTTTGTACCTGGTTTTTTTCAGACTTTTTTTAGAAAATGAGTAAAAAATCATTTGGTTCCATTAAAAAAAGGCAGCTAAAGCTGATTGTATTCAAAAGAAAGGAAACATTTGATTTTCAAGTTGCATAAAAAAAATGAGGATAAGAAGCTTAAGCTGTGGTCTTAATTTTTGAGAAATATTTGATAAATAATTGACAAAACACAAATCTGAACATCAGAGGAAAGATCATATGACAAGAAAAGAGATGAAACTAGTTGGCAATTTTATTTTTTAACTGATCAGTCTCATAGCTCCAATTTCTTTTTTTAATGTAAGGAGTTCGTTAAGGTATAATCACATTTTTTCTTTCCATTTAAAAAATATTCATGGGACAAGCATTGTAGTGCATATTTAAGCCACCCCTAGGGATTCCTACTCCCATGTCAGGGTGCCCAGGATTGAGTCCAGCTTCCCTTTCCAAGGAGCGTCCTAAGAAAGCAGCAGAAGACAAGTCAAGTGCTAAGATTCCTGCCACTCATATGGGAGACTTGGATTGAGTTGAATGCTCCTAGCTTTGTCCTGGACCAGCCCTGGCTGGTACTCTGCCTTTCAAATAAAAAGAAAAGCAATAACAGAAAAACAAAAAAGCCCTCAGAACCCAGAACCTTTTCACCTGCATTCCAAGGTAGACCTCAAAGTAATGTATATTTGATGATCTTCCATAAGTGTTTTGTAATATTTAAAAATATATGAAGTTATTCAAAATTACAGATTCATTCAATAATGCATCCAGTCATGGAAGTTTAGATCTTTCAAAGTATAATTCACTGACCAAGCTATGAAACCCTCAGTGCAGGCAACTGACAATTAAATAATAAGTGCAAAAAATTCCCCAGGTTGGTCAGTGGGTGAATTTTCATAAAAACTTACTGCAAAATGGTCTCTAAGATCAGCTACCATCCAATATTGTTAAGTTGCAAAAATTTAAAACATTAATTTCTGCAAAGCACTCAATTAGATTGGAGGAATTTTGCCATGTTACCATTAATTCAAACTGTAGTGGTATTTTTTACAGCTTTCTTTGCCTATACTAAAGATAACAATCCCATGTTTGTTAGCATTAAAATGCTCATTTGATGTTTCACAATAGATTTCAGATTGCAGTTAATCTCAGTGTGGAACGCTATGCCCTGGTGTTCGGAATCAACACCTTCATAGCCTTGGTGATTCAGACCATTATGACTGTGATTGTGGTAGACCAGAGAGGGCTCAACCTGCCAATCAGCATTCAGGTGAGTTGCAATATATCTAGGAAGTAACCTAAAAGATTTTTTTGGCCTCACAACCAGCTTATTATATTATTGTTAATTCCTTGGGTAGGGAATTTTGAAATACATAATTTGAAATACATAACACAAACCTTGAAATGTGTAATTCCTTAGTTATTAGTTTTACATATCAAGAGCATTTCCAGAATTAATTGCACCTGGGCAAAATTTATCTGGATAAAACAAGTATGAAGCAACCTCAGTTCAAATTCACTCCTGGAGACATTGCATAAAGCATTGTAGCAGCTTTCTAAAAGACAGATGAGTAGCATTTTGTGTTTTTTCACTATTGATGATAGAAACTAGGATTTGAACACAAGCGGCCTGCTCCAAATCCAAGTCACTGCTTTGCTTGTATTTTCTTATTTGACTCTTGTAAGATAGGAGAAGAAAGTGCCGTTCAATCAAAATGACCCATATTAAGACCCTTGGTCTATTATCTCCTAGTTCAAGCAAATCAACAGCATCATTACATATTATCAATGAAATAGTTAGATACTCAGATATTATATGTGGCTAATTATTATTTGTTTTTCTCCAGTTTTTAGTGTATGGGAGTTATTTTGCTGTCATTGCTGGAGTTTTCCTAATGAGAAGTTTGTACATTATCTACTCAGCCAAATGTCAAAATAAGGAAACGCAGAACCCTAGTACAACTCAGAATCCAGATGATGCATCCCCAGTGGAGCCAAGTAATAATATCATCATGGTAACAAAGTTCTAACTTCACTGCATCAACTGGTGCAGTGATTTTCAAATGAGAATAGAGGATTTTGAGAAGGATGATATGATACGTATTGTCACAGTTGACATGCTTTACACACCTGAATTCCAGTGAACTTTTTCAAAGCCACAACGAAGCCTCAGCTCTAGACCAGATAACTATGCCCAACTGAACGGAATGCAGTCAACAGGGACCATTACCACCACGGAGGCACCAGTGCTGGGGCCCTAGAGAACAGCAGTAATTGTTCATAATTTTGATCATTTGTAAACACATACAAATGTCATAGAAATCGGCTGTGAGAAACTCCATCCATTCTAGACTTGACATTCTCCATCTGTGATCAGAAATACTAACTGGAATGACCCTTGGACTGAACCTCAGCTTGGTTTACAGACTTGCTTCATCTCGCCAAAGCAGGAAACTCTTGGGACATTTTTGCCACACTTTTGGAAAGTTTTATTTCTGTTCAACTTACAGTTCTTTGAGAGAATTACGATGTTTGGTCCCTTTTCTAAGGGTTTCTCATCAACCCTGAAAATACAATTTACCAGTTAATATCACCGCTTAAATGTTTTCATGGTCATTTTTCATTTCATGCCCTGCTGAGTTCTGCCACTGAAACTCTACCTCAGGAACAGCTCCACTGTTCTTATGTCTGCAGAATGATCCTCACATCAACTCCCAGGGGCCTGGGAAGAGTGACTGGTCCTCTCCCCACCATGACACCTGAGAGGTGTTTTAACTTTAAGTCAGTATAATGTCTGTCTACAATGGGAAAAGGTAAGAAGATGAGAGAACATTTATGGAAGGGAATAAAACACTTAATTGTTAAATGGCAGAGACTGCTAAATAAAATGTGTCCAAAGTGTTTTCATGAATTCTGAACATTATCTGTACATGTCTGTTCTTTGAAACTCAACAGAAAATGCACTGATCCACTGAGAATAAGTTATGCTGATTAAGATTTGTGCTCTTTTCTTCAAGTCTCAAAATTCATTGACTGGAAATAAAACTCAGCCCAGATGCCAATACGGTTGTCCCTGCTTATCCACATGTTTGTTCTTTGAATGTTCACTTATCTGCTGCAGTCCAAAAATATTAAATGGAAAATTTCAGGAATAATTCAAAGTTTTAAGTTGTGTACTGTTCTGAATAGATGACATGAGTTTTTATAAATTTTTTTATTAACTCAGGAGTAACTGGAAAACATTATGATCTAAAGAATCTTCATGTTTCAAAAGACCTATCTAGGCCGGCGCCACGGCTCAATAGGCTAATCCTCCGCCTAGCGGCGCCAGCACACCAGGTTCTACTCCCGGTCAGGGCACCACATTCTGTCCCGGTTGCCCCTCTTCCAGGCCAGCTCTCTGCTGTGGCCAGGGAGTGCAGTGGAGGATGGCCCAAGTGCTTGGGCCCTGCACCCCATGGGAAGACCAGGAGAAGCACCTGGCTCCTGCCTTCGGATCAGCGCGGTGCACCGGCCGCAGTGCACTGGCCGCAGTGGTCATTGGAGGGTGAACCAACAGCAAAGGAAGACCTTTCTCTCTGTCTCTCTCTCTCTCTCTCTCTCACTGTCCACTCTGCCTGGAAAAAAAAAAAGACCTATGTAATTACCATTTACTAGGTACCATAAAAGTCAGTCAGGATTAGTGAAAAGGATGGCATGAATTCTCTTACGAGATTCACCAACTCACAATGAGACAAATAGAGCAGTAGACAAACATGCCATCCCCAAAGGATAGACCACAGGTACATATCATTAGATACATACCAGGAGGATCAGACAACTCAGCCTACTCAGATCAAGAAACTTGTGAGAGGGAGAAATACCAAAGACGCAGCTGAGTCCTGGCTTTGAGCTTCTGAGAGTCCTTAGAAAGTTCAAGATTGTGGGGCCGGCGCTGTGGCGAAGTGGGTTAACGCCTCGGCCTGAAGCGCTGGCAGCCCATATGGCCACCAATTCGAGACCCTGCTGCTCCACTTCCTGTCCAGCTCTCTGCTATGGCCTGGGAAAGCAGTAGAAGATGGCCCAAGTCCTTGGGTCCCTGCACCCACGTGCGAGACCTGTAAGAAGCTCCTGGCTCCTGGCTTTGGATCAGTGTAGCTCCAGCTGTTGCGGCCATCTGGGGAGTGAACCAACGGATAGAAGACCTCTCTCTCTCTCTGCCTCTTCTCTCTGTGTAACTCTGCCTTTCAAATAAATAATTTTTTTTTTTTAAAAAAAGGAAGTTCAAGATTGTTAGACTATGTGTCTTTACATCTAATGGAACACTTTGTAAGATGATTGTGAGTTATACTCTGAACATTATTCTTCACTTTTTTGTATTTGAACTGAAAATCAACAAAGTTTAGAACGGGATATAAATTTGAACCTAAGAAAAAACTTTGTTAATTTTCAATTATTTTCTTCTTAAATGGCCCTTTTCTTTGCTATTTTCCTTTTCTGAAACTTAGAATGAAATGATTATTTGAAGGACACTGTTGGTTAAGGACCATAATCTACCCATATTCACTTTGATGATAATGCTCTAGAAAAGCCTTATCACATCTCTATGTTCTCTAGATAATTTTACCAACTCTAAAATATTTTTTAAGAACACATGATTCTGGCCGGCACTGTGGCTCACTAGGCTAATCCTCCGCCTGTGGCGCCGGCACCCTAGGTTCTAGTCCCGGTTGGGGCACCAGGTACTAGTTCCGGTTGCTCCTCTTCCAGTCCAGCTCTGTACTGTGGCCCAGGAAGGCAGTGAAGGATGGCACAAGTGCTTGGGCCCTGCACCTGCATGGGAGACCAGGAGGAAGCGCCTGGCTCCTGGCTTTGGATCAGTGCAACGCGCCTACGGCCACTTGGAGGGTGAAGCAACAGAAAAAAGACCTTTCTATCTCTTTCTCTCACTGTCTAACTCTGCCTGTCCAAAAAAACAAAAAAAAAACAAAAAAAAAACATGACTCTGACTGCCTGGTTCAAATTTATTAATGGCTGCAAATTGAGCATTCATCCTATTGATAAGAACATAAATTCTCCTTAGGAATGCCACATACCTAGCTTCCTTCACTTTGTAACAACTCTGGACTCTTGGTATTTTAATCTGCTCCAGGAGATTGTCACAGAAGCATGTGCAAAAGTTGATTTGTGGGGTGATTTTTCATAGTGACCTCCCAGGTGGGAGTAGGAGAAAACTCTGAACTTTAATCTATAAATTGTTTGCTGACTTCTGACTCCTTGTTCTTTCATCAAACACTAGCTCTACCCAGAATTCTATATCTAAATTGGAGAAAAGTATAGGAAAGTAATCCCAGTTCTATAAAATAGTCAATTTGGTTCCCTATGATTACATTCCAATGGCCAATCTGCTTGCCTACTTTTGGCTTTGTTTCAATCATGGGTCCCTGCCAAAATTTACTAAGCCAGTTCTGAGCTGCTCCTGCAGTCATCCTATATTGTTCTTTCTCTAACAGAATAATCAGAACCATTTTTCTTTTAGATCCAGAGAAAAATGTGACCTCAAGTAGGGAAGACTACATGCTTATATTAAACTCATGTTGCAGACACACTTCTGCAATTTTTGGATAGTAACAGTCACATTGTTTTATTCACCTTAATATTTACATGAAACTTGCTTGGTCTCACTACTTGCCTTTCCACACACAAAAACAGTGGCAATGGTTGGTATTCAACATGTTCAAATGCTTTATATCTCAAATTGTAGATTCTGACTTTGGGCTTTCAGATGATCCTATTGCTTTGACTCAAAGTTAGTCTTACAAGATAAAGATTTGGAAGACTATCCCCTCCAAAGGAAATACATATTCTTTATCTATGGAATCATTTCATCATGGTATAGCAATGCTAGAAAATGCATAAGTCCACTCCAAGAATTTATCTCAATAAATTTCCAAGCCACTGAAGTATAGAGGATAAGAAGGGCTATGCATTCACTTGCTTTAGGATAAAACTGTCACTTGGTCTTCTTTGTGGAGTTATTTGCCTGGAAGTTGAGTATAAAGAGTCTACCCCTTCCTTCTCCAAGAACCATTCTCCTCAACGCAGCGAACTCCTCTCATTTACGTAAGGCAACATTTGTCCTTGTCACAACCAAAATAGATCCTCCTGTTCTATTTGATCTGTCTGTCTTAAGTGAGTTTACCACTGAGCTTGTTTCAGATGGTCCTAGGAAAGCCGAGAGGGTATGTGGTGAATGGGACAGATAAGAAGAAACCTTCTACTGCACTACTTATGCTTGATGGACTGAAGGCTGGATAGCACCGGAACCGAACTTTCCACAGAAGCCAAAATTTATGGGCAACTGCACCTCAGGCAGCTTTAGGATGAGAAGGATTGAGTCAAAACAAAAGACAAATCCAATCCAAATTCAGCCTATGAAGTCTGCTGGAGCCTTGATCTGCTTACTACTAAAGGAAGGGGTTGGTACCACATTCCTTGTAGCTCCTTAACTCCTCACTTTACCCTTAGATGCACTCTACTTGTATGTACAGAAATTAGTTATAGAGAATAAACTTATTGTTCAAGCATTTGACCTTCAAGTACTCAATATAAAGATTTAATGATCTGTGGGTGCCACACTTTCAGGAAATCTGTTTGTTTAAAAAATTTATTTTTTTATTTGAAAATCAGAGAGAAGGAGAGACAGAAAGAGATCTTCCGTTCTTTGGTTCACTCCCCAGATGGCCACAACAGCCAGGGCTGGGCCAGGACAAAACCAGGAGCCAGGAGTTTCATCCAGGTCTCCCATATGAATGACAGGGGCCCAGGTACTTCGGCCATCTTCTACTGCTTTTTCCGAAGCCATTAGCAGAGAGCTGGATCAGAAGTGAAGCAGCCAGGACATCGTCTGGCACCCACATGGGATGCCAGCACTGCAGGCTGCAACTTTATCCGTTACGTCACAACAGCAGCCTCCAGGTTCTCTTGTCTATCATAAAATGTCTCCAATATGAAATATGTATTGCATGTCACTTGAGACAATATCCATGCCACTTCGTGATGCCATCAGCAAGTGTATCTGAAGCTGATTTTACAGTGAGCTTAGGTTTCTGCTGTTTCAGAAGTTTCCATTTCAATGATATTAGCAAAGGAATATATGCTGGAAATATAAACATCTTAATCTTTGCCTTCTCTCACTTCCTTTTTATTTCTGATAGTTTTAAATAACCATGGAAGATTTGAATGGGTAAAACAATTATCCATATGTTCATATCTAGGGGTAACTCAAACTTCTTCTGGGATTATTTATTTAAATGTTTCTTTTACAATGTTGTATTTGATATTTAATATGTTCAATTTTTATATTTTCTTGCCTCTTAGTAACTTTATTAGAGCTTAGGAAAAATAAAAATAAGAAATAAAGTGAGAATCATATTACCCTGTTTCATACTAAAACAAACATTTTGAGAGAAAGTCAAAAGGAGTATTAAAAGTGGAAGAAGACTTTCCTCACTTTTACATGAAATGCTTGTAACCATGGTTACCATAGACAGTCTAAAATGGCCTTTTTCTTTCTTGCATGTTTACGGTAGAAACCTACTCTCATTCCTAGGGCACGTACCTGGTGAATGGACAAGGAAAAGCTTATACCATAATGTTGAACAGCTTCTGATAGAAGACTGTTCCCAGACTCAGGAGGTATACTCAATCTACATGCAGAGTGCTTCTAGGTGTTAAGTGATAAAAGATAAGTATATTTTGGTGCAAAAAAATTGAGATCTAAATGTAGTTCTTTTCACAATATGCATTTTCCATGAACTTTTTAAAGACTCCTTGTATACACTGCTATCAAAACTTTCACCAAACTAAATCTGCCTTTTAATCTCATTTTCAAAGGAGGTACAGTCAACAGTTTTTAGTCAGATGCAAAGATTTCTAAAGCAACAATTTATTAGGTACCATTTTCGGTGATGAGTCAAACGCCATTTTCTTTAAAATATATAATTCATGTAAACAATATAAGGGTTTACTCATGAATGCTATCTCCAAATTTCCATTCCATTCTCCATGTTAACTGCATAAATTCAAGTCATTGACCTAGTTCTGATACCTGGTACAGGGTAACATCAGGGCTCCTCTCAGCTTCTCCAGATACTTACAGAAGGGTTACACAGTTTTCTTTAGATAACCATGATTCATTTTGAGAGTCAGAAGAATAATTTCTGTAAAGGAATTGGAAGGGATGTGACTTCAGGGACACCGTAAGTTGCTTTAGCACTGCTGGGTTTCATATGTATCTTGTCCGAAACCAACTCATCACAGGCAAACTATGCCGCTATCCTCTTGGAGCAAATAAGGGTGCCAAGATGAAATGCTATGCACACTGAACCCAAATCTATCATGTGGTCCAATCTCGCTTTTTTAAAACATTGACTCAGTCCAGGATTTCTTTAAAGGGAACCACGCTTAGATCAGCAATAAGTAAAGGGAAAGTACAATAATATTTGACCACTGGGTGGCTTGTATGTTTTTTTCAAATATCTCACCTTTATGAAAGTAAACACTAAAATACAATGTGTTTTATTTTGAGAAGCAGTTAAAATATTTTAACATGGGGTCAGCATTGTGGCATAGCAGGTAAAGCAGTTGCCTGTGACACTGGCATCCCATGTGGGCACCCGTTTGTCTCCTGGCTGCTCCACTTTCAATCCAGCTCCCTGCTAATGCCCTGGGAAAATAATATTAGATGCCCCAAATACCTGGGCCCCTGCTACTCACATGGAAGACCCAGAAGAAGCTCCTGGCTCCTGGCTCCTGGCTCCTGGCTTCAGCCTGGCCTAGCCCTGGTCCTTGAGGCCATTTGAGAAGTAAAGCAGTGGATGGAAAATCTCTCTCTCTCACTCTGTTTCTCTCTCTCTCTCTCCCTTAACTCTGCCTTTCAAATAAATAAATAAATCATTTTAAAAAAAACACTTCATTCTTTTTAGGAGCTTGCACTATGGCATAGCAGATAGGGCCGCTGCCTGCAGTGCCGCCATCCCATGTGGGCATCAGCTTGAGTTCTGGCTGCTCCACTTCCAATCCAGCTCTCTCCTATGGCTTTGGAAGGCAATGGAAGATGGCCCAAGTCCTTGGGGCCCTGCACCCATGTGGGAGACCCGGAAGAAGCTCCTGGCTCCTGGCTTCAGATGGACGCAGTTCTGGCCATTGTGGCCAATTGGGGAGTGAACGAACCATCGGATGGAAGACCTCTCTCTCTCTCTCTCTCTGCCTCCTTCTTGGTGTGTAACTCTTATTTTCAAATAAGTAAATATTTTTTAAAAATCTTCCTTTAAAAAACAGTTTTTTTACATACTTTTTAAAGCCAATTACAAAACCTCATGATCACAACTATACATTTACTCTCATTTTAATGATTACCAATAAATTTAAAATCTAAAAATTATGCATTAAATTGTAGTACTGTTGTTTCCAGAGTTAAGAAACTAACAAAATTTTATCAATAGCAAAATTTAGAATATCATAATCCATAAATTTACCTACTAAATTTACTTACTAAATGCCAATAAATTTACCTACTAAATGCCGAAAGAGCTAATTTTAAAAATTAAATTTAGGGGCTGGCTCTGTGGTATAGCAAGTAAAGCCACCACCCATGCCATCATCATCCCATAGGAGTACCAGCTTAAGATCTGGTTGCTCCACTTCCAACTCAGCTCCCTGCTAATGTGCTTGGGAAAGCAGCAGAAGGCAGCCCAGGTCCTTGGGCCCCTGCCACCATGTGAGAGACCCAGATGAAGCGCCTGGCTACTGGCTTTGGCCTGGCCCAGTCCTGGCCATTGTAGCCATTTGGAGAATGAACCTTCCAATAAGGGATGCCAACATTGCAAATGGTAGCTTAACTTGTTCTGGCATAACACTGGCTAAGAAATATTTAAATCTCTCTCTACAATGTCAGATTTCAGACTGCAGGAAAGCCTGCCGACTTGTTAAATTCTCCACTATATGAACCATCCTCAACTTCAAGTTAAGAAGAGAATTAACCCATTATACATAGCTGACATTACTGAACTGTGATACTGTTAATCATGCAAGTTCTGTGTAATTCCCTTAGACCAAATTAGCTTTAAAAATATTTTATGAATTAATGTATATAGTCTTTTCCAAGAATCCGTGTTCTATTGGTGATGACCTGAGAATAATAAGCCCTGTTGTGCAGCAGTCTCACCAGTGTGAGGCCAAGACTCCCACCCTTAGATGCACTAAAGCAGATCACCAACCAAGCACTTTATAGACACTATAAAAGTTTGATCCAGGAGACCTGAGTCTTTTCCTGGACTTCACTAGAAAAGATCCTGAAATGTTACTAAGCATGTGAATCAATCAAAAGAGAAAACAATGATTCCCCACCTTTAGTTACAAGTATTTTTATACTCCTCCCCTTTACTATCATGAAATAAAATTCAAACATAAAATAACCTACCCACATACATGGAAATTTTTAAAATCAATATAAGCATAAAATAAATAAATTTAACAAGGAATAAAATACCATGTATTTCAATGTGTAATGGGCACAACTAAGCTGTAAGCTTAGTCACCAAACTGTGACCAGTGCAGACCAAGACCGAGGATGATCTGTTTTAGCAATGACTAAAATATTTTGAATGCTATTCCATTGATGACATGATTCTCTGAAACTAGGAACCATGCTTGATGAAATACACAACAAACAGGAATGCAAGTTTCCCTCCATTTACACGGCAGTGTTTCCCTAGAAACTTCATTGTATGCTAGCTCCATGCAACTGACCCTCTGTTTATATGTAGGGTAAATTATAAGTTCCCATCATTATACAGAAGAGTTTGACTTACCCACATGCTCAGGGGACATTTGAGAATCATGTAAGTCACAAAATAAGTCTTTGTTGCATGGGATATCCTGTGTATAGAAGGATCTACCATCCCTGATCCTGCCCAATAGATGTCAGTAGAGCACCCTTCTTTGTGACAATAAAAACCACTTTAAAAATTTCCGTAGGCACCCCAAGGGGACAGCACCATCCTCCTTGAAGACTACTGGCTTAAAGTTGTTGGTTTACACATAGAACAACCCTGGAGCAACAACAAATGCATAACTCACAAACAACAGAAATAAGAGATAGAAATGCAAGAGAACTACTAGCTCTGAGGCTGTGATTCTGACTTGCTTTGGCCTCCCCTTTGATTAGGCTTGGGCCTTGACCTATGTGAACTGTTTCAACTTGGTTTGAGGAAGTTGCAGCTGCAGAAGCATGTGATCAATTTTGACAAGGAAGAAAAGTCAGAGTCTTTACAAGGGGACGCTCACATGGCTGTGAGTGCTGGTCTCACGAGAAGGAAAAATGACAGGTGGCTGAGGTGAGGGGCAGGTTACCAGATGCCTAGCAGTGACCTGCCCAGCAGCCACATGTGTTCATTGTTGTCATTTCAGGATTATCACTCAACTTTCAGAGGGAAAATAAAGTCTCTTATATGTACTCTGTTAGTCAAATTTCATTACTATAATGAACTACCTGAGACTAGGTGACTTTATAGGAAAAGAAATTTACTCAGCTTAAGGTTGGGGAGGTTCTAGGGCATAGTACCAGGATCACTTTGGCTCTGGCGAGGTCAGCACGGCAGGGAACTCTACAATAGTGGGAGCTCTTACAAGAGGAGAGGGGCTCTTTTATACCAACTGATTCTTACAAGAAATAACAGTTCGACAAGAACTATCTTAATCCCTTCTGAAGGCAGTGCCCTGATGACCACCCCCTAGGATCCACCTTTTACAGGTCTTGACATCACAACAGTAAGGACTAAGCTTCCAACACAATTCTCTGTGGGGAAATCACATCCAAACTGTAGTGTACACCTGTTGACATGATAGAAGAAAAGCAGAATCACTCAGGGTTGTTCATTTTATTAAGAAAATTAGGCAATAGCTATGTGGTGACTTGAAACAACAGTAGTAGAAAAGGTGAAAAGTCATGCTCACATAGACACAAAGAGGGAGAAATGCAAAGAAGGCCATTTGTATTTCCATCAAAGAGAACATTTGGCATTGTGATCCTTTTGGCTGGCTTCAGTGAGATGAACTTATGTTTATGTGCTGGGGTCACATTTTTGTCATGGCCATTTTCCATTTGGATTTTTTAATAAAGATTTTATAGAGCTGAGTTCAAAGAAAGGGGTCTAGAATCCAAAGGAGTAAGTCTCAGAATACCAAAGAGGGAGATCTGAGAGAAAGGCAGAAAAGAGGAGAGAGGAGAGTCTTGTTGGCTAGAGGCACAGCTCTCAGCATCTCGTCCTAGACATGAAGCCAGGCTGACCTCCTAGCTGCTGCATCGTTTCTGGCAGCCACACTTCTGTTGGCAGCAGCCCTTGCTCCAGCCACAGCCATCTGAGCTGTAGCCACATGACCGACAGGAGCGGTGGCAGCAGCAGATCCCGGGGGTGCTGCAGCAGCCCCCACAGCAGCCACAGCAGCAGGACAGCAGTCGGAGCAGCAGCCCATGTGGTAGCTCCTGCAGATGGCGTAGCTACTGCAGCCACCCTAGCCTCTGCAGCAGCCACCACCACCTTACAGCCACAGCAACCCGTGGTGTCACCAGACAGGATTCAGGTAAAGTGAGGAGAGAGGACTCAGGAGAGGTGAGGGAGGTCTGATGCCTCCTCCTGTGGTGGAAAGGCCCTTTGTGGACCATCTCAAGGATGAGGATGATGGCCTGACCCATGAACATGAAAAGTGACTATTTCTTGTTACTCTTTATTCCAGAAAAGAATTTAGAGTTTTTTCTTCTGTCTATCCTATGGGAAACATTTGGCTAAGTAAAAAAGCTACATTTAAAAGCTATCATTTGCATATTAAGAACCAGGCCTCATAGACTTAGGAAATTCAGAAGGTATAACATAGAAAAAAGGGACACATGAATGTCTTCTGACTTAGTGGAATGTGGAATAAAGAAAATTACAGTTGGAAGGAATAAGCTGACAGGCATCTTATCCTCTTCATGTGACATCCTGTTCCCCTTTAGCCAGTGGAATTGCCAGGGGTCTAGATGGCAGGAGTTAGATGAGTAAGGAATTAGGGGCTTCAGGAAAGTTGGTCAGACCTAAAATCAAATGGGACACGTGGCCCATCTTCTAAGCTGTTGGCACCTCCAGAGCGTGTTATTGTGGCTGTGTCATCAAGAAGGACC